AAAAAAAAAAAAAAAATGCTGAAAGGATTTTTTGTAACTTTAGTATGGTAATACTCATCTTGAAATAATTATCCAAAAATTAATCAAGACCGTTCGAAACTATGTCGAGAACTAAAAATACGAATAGGATATATAAATACGAATAAAGAATCATTGATCATACCATCTCCATGTACTTCAGTTGCTTCATGACTTCATCAGTATCTAGCTCCTGAATAAACAAAGAGATGATTGATTATCTTAATATATATGCAATAATGCAATGCCATGTGGAATTAGTTTGAAACCAACTACAAACAAGCAAAATCGATCACATGAAAGAATACAAGTTTAAAAAACAATTTCAAAGAAATGAAAATCCGATAGCACAAAAAAAATCTCAGACCAAAATCCCTACACTCACATAAAAATGAAAAAAAAAACAAAAACAATGTGCAAGTAAGAAAATAAATGATCGAGACTTGTTGATCAAGGTGCATCTTCAAAAGGCAAGGACTCACACTGAAGCAGCAAAAGAAAGAAAGGGATATGTTTTAACGAGAAATTTTCAAATCTTGCAAATTAGGAAATATTAAACTCACAGGAAAAACCGAAAGGTAAGCAACTTTTGTTAAGGCACCATATCTCTGAATCAGATGATTTTTCCGTTGATTGAACATATACCCTTTTGGTAAGCCCAACAACTTTTTCGAGCATTGAAAAGCATATATTATAACTAAAATACTAAAATTTATGCTTCAAAGGGATCAAAAGCAACCCATCAATAATAAGTTTAATGCAAATACATAGTCTCGTCAAATGATATTATCACAGAAGAATTTGTATGGAGAGAGAGAGAGAGACCTGTGGCACGGAACAATCTGCATGAGCTGGATCCCAAAGAACACAATTGAAGCATTCCCAGTTGTCGGTTTGAACTTCAAAAAGTGGGGCTCTGCAAATTCAACAATCTCAGTTTAGTAACAAAACAAACCAAGAAGTATCGTGCAAGTGATTGATAGGCTTGAGTGGAAACTCGAAACTTAAGGCTCTGCAGACAATTCAACCGTTACAATTAATTTTTTGCACAACCAATAGGAATAAAAGAACCTGCACCTACTTACACAGAAATTCCATCATCTTCCAAACTCCACTAATTGTTTTGACTGAAAACTGGTTTAACTGTCAATATTTGTTTTTCAATCAAATAACTTCCATCACACAACATTAAATACAGGAAAGAACCATGTACAAGTATATTTTGAAATTCCCTTTCAGTCACTGATTGCTACAAAATGAGGTTCATAAGTAAAAATATTCCATGTCAACATATAGATTCAGCATACAATTTATCCGAATCGGGAAAAAAAAATTCAAATTTTTACCTGCGCCATTTCGCGCACACTGTTCCATCAACACCTTCTCCAACGCCTTCTATTACCCCTCGGCATTGAAGCCAATTACCAATAAAATTGA